CCGTTCTGCTTGGTAGGCTTGTTACCTCAGCAATTGAAGGAATATCTGTCCACGAAAAAAGAAAATGTCCATGTGTGAAGCCAGAAATAAGCTCCGGACAGTGGGGCCATCTGAAGCCATGGAAGATGCGACATCCGCAGGGCAGAGCTCCCACGTCATGTTTCTCCAACGCCACCTAAGAGCTTGTTCCTAGACACAGAGTTAGCGCAAACACAAAATTAAAGAGCCGAGTCGCACAGCATCGTGCCAACGGCAAAGGACGACCGCTCCACGCTGCACCCTGGGCTGCATCCAAATACTCTCAACAGACAGGTAGATAGGCAGATAGATAGATAGATTAGATTAGATTAGATTAGATTAGATTGGATTGGATTGGATTAGATTAGATTAGATGATAGATAGATAAACAGATAGATAAACAGATAGATAAACAGATAGATACATAGATAGATAAACAGATAGATAAACAGATAGATACATAGATAGATAAACAGATAGATAAATAGATAAAGAGATAGGTAGATAGACTAGTAAATTTCCACTTAAGTTGGTTCACCAAAAAAGGCTCCGGCAAGTCTCCAAAAAAACAGTATTTTCCCTGAATTTTATGAAAGATTTTGGGACTTGTGGGTGCCTTTTGGGGGACCAACCCAAGTGGAAAATTAGCAAGATAGATAGATAAATAGACAAACAGGCAAATAGATCGAGTGATCCATCGGTCGATCGATAGATAGATAGAGAAGAAAAAAGAAAGAAAGAAAGTAAGAAAGAAAGGTAGGTAGATGCATAGATGTACCTTTTTCTTGGTTTGTTGCTGTCCGTCATTCTATGTGACATGTCGGCGCATTCAACCGAGTGGCTTGATCTGATTGATTCCCACTGTGCGCACAGTCTCCATGGCTGAAAAAAGAATGAGAGCATCAGTGGAAGCGAAGGCATTTTTACTAAATTGAAACGAAGATGTGAGCCATGGAAAAATTTTCACGTCAGCCAGATACAATCTCATCCTTTTTTAAACTTGAAGCCAAATTTCAAAATCAAGTTCGACTGCAACAGAAGGCTCACAATTCGTGTAAAAAAACATCTGAGGGAGCGCACGGGCGCAAACCTAGTTCAAGACCTCCGCACCCTGAGAAGAGTGAGATGCATTTCATCTTCTTGGAAGCCTGCAAGTGATTCAAATCTTATTTGAATGTTCACTGCATCTGGCAAAACACTTGCGCATGACAAGAAAGAAGCTCATAATGAGAGCATGGCCTCCCCAGCTGGAAAATACCTTCGGATGTCCTCGCTGTTCACCATCCCGCATGTGGGCGAGGTCCAGTTTCGAGGCAACCCACTGAGATGCTCAGCAGCTTCAACACTGATGCACCTTCCCGGTTTGAGCCCCTCTCGGACCAATTTCTGGTATGTCTCAGAATGGAGCACCATGTTGCCAAGGTCCTGGAATCCATCCAACTGACAAAACTAAGACTCACGCGCAAATTTCTCAATGCCTGCAACTCTGCATGGTAGCTATGCCTGACTCAGCCTGACATACTCATTGAAATCCACTTTTATAAAATCTTAGGCTTTGACCTGAACCCCACGGACTGATACTTCTGACTTCGAAGCTGTCACTGAGGCTGTGAAACAACCTTGGAATTAGTTCTGCAGCTGCCACTAGTGCACCGATGCAAACACCCGTCCTGAGCCCCGTACGAATCGAACCCCAGCTGCGAAACGTCCTGGTTCCAACAAACCGCTGTGCTCCGTTGGCCTTGAGGCCAGGCTGGCCGTGCACCACCTTGCAAAACAAAATAGAAAGTGAATATCAAAACTAAAAGTGAATATCAAACAAAAATAAACTGCAAATATTCTCTCCTCAGGTCAGCACCACTTTCAGGTTCAAGGGCTTGCACCGCTGAAATGGCACTTTGAAGAAAGCAATTTTGCGGTTGAAGATCCAGCCGTAGTGTGGGAGCTGACAGGTTGGCTGCAGCCAGCATGGCACATGGAAAGAATTTTTTTTAGTGGAAATTGACATGCAAATTCACCGCCTTCCCAAAGACCTTGGGTTTGTACACAGCTGTCTTCACCACACGCAGAGAGCCCTGAGAAAAACGTGCAAAGCATGTGTTCTGATGACCTGAATGAATAATATTACAGCTCAACCCACCTGATGGCCTTGCATGAATCAAAATCAACCATATGATGGCCTGACAGTCCTCATTCTTCTTCTTACCCCTCTTCCCCTTCGGAGCAGCGACGCAAGAGAAAAAACATTAAGTAACGCAACTGCAAAAAAGAAAATCTGGCTCATTTCCTTAACCAGCTCAGCACTGACTCAAACAAAGAATTTCAAAACATGTCTTCTCTGGCCACGCCTTGGCAGCTGGTCGTTTCATAGTGGCCAGTTTGGGCATTGGCTTCTTCTGCTCAGACATGGACATGAATTGTGTTGTGAATCAGGTTGCGCAGGTGCCGGTGTGCCCTTGAAAAAAAATGCAACTTTCAAAAGTTTGATTTTCACAAAACACCAAGTGTTTGGCATCCAACAAATGGGCCACAAAAACAAACCAAACCTCCTCGTCCTTGGGCGCTGTTGCCACGGCACCCTCCGTCTCAGAATCAGACCTGGGCGAAAACGCTTGGCCAAAGCTTCCAAACTCGCCCGCTCTTCCCACCAGTATTTATTGTGTCAAAACTCAGCACACTGCAGATTGGTAATCGGCGCCAAAGCGGTCATCGCACAAGAAAACGGCTGCGATGACGGGCTCTCTTTCAAACAGCATTTCGAATGAACCATGCTGCCAGAAAATGCTGTGAACAGCGGGGCCGATGAATCACTAGGTCACTAGGTCTCAGCCATGTAACCTAAGTCCTTCAAAATGCCGACAGAAATCTTGGAATCCAAAGTTGGAAGGCGTGAGTTAGCACAGATCCTGCGAACCCGAATGCACACACGCAAGAAATCAATCAATAGAATGTTTCCCCGAGCGTCGTAACCACGGTGTTGCAAGCCGTCAATGTTTAAAATGAAAAATGTTGAGTTTATGTACAATTTTTAATTACACCCTTTAAAGTTGCCACAAACCAACCAAAAAGTATTTCAATTACAAGCTGTTTTTCTGAAATTCTGCGAGTGATGTGTTTCAGAACCAACCAGTTCCATGCGAGCAGCGAGAAGACAATCAAAAAAATACCCATGGGATGGCGCGCTGCAACATATCGAAAGTAGCCGCCTAACGTGCAATCAGCCTTGCCTTGTGTTGAATTGTAGCGTCTCAGCTTGAATTCCAAAGAACAAAATATAAAGCCGCAACCGTCACAGGCATGCTAGAGCCATGGCAGCAACCCAGGGCAACCTAAAAGCAAGGGCAGTGTGGCTTCAGGCAAGCCAAAGCCATAGAAACACATGGCAGCTGACGTTGAATGTCAGAAAGCAAATCACGACTATAGGAACCATTGGCAGCGGAGCACTAGGGAAACACCCGGCATGGAGGGCTGAGTAGAGTAATGCATGCTCTATGCAGCTCATGGATTATATGAGTTGCATGAAGAGTATTAGGACCAGGGTTTGGAACCCCGATTCATTATGGAACCCCGATTCAAGGGAAAATTCTTTATTGACGTGTGGGGTTTTTGTTTTTAGTTCTGTATCCGCGCCTCTTCTTCCTCCTCATCCCGTCCTCCTCCCGCCCTCCTCACTCACTCACTCGCTCACTCACTCACTCACTCACACACTCACTCACTTACTCACTCACACTCTCACTCTCACTCTCACTCTGACTCTCACTCTCACTCTCACTCGTTCACTCATTCACTCATTCACTCATTCACTCATTCACTCATTCACTCATTCACTCATTCACTCATTCACTCATTCACTCATTCACTCATTCACTCACTCACTCACTCCCTCACTCCCTCACTCCCTCACTCACTCACTCACTCTCACTCACTCACTCCCTCACTCACTCACTTACTTACTCACTCACTCACTCACGTGGCCGCTTTTGCGTGGCAGGCGTGGGACAATGTGCACTGCCAAGGGGTCGGATGTACGCCCTGGCGTCCCTCCGGTGTCCCTCCGGGGGTCGGATGTACGCCCTGGCGTCCCTCCAGTGTCCCTCCGGGGTCCCTGGTCTCCGCTGCTTTTGCGTGGCAGGCGTGGGACAATGTGCACTGCCAAGGGGTCGGATGTACGCCCTGGCGTCCCTCCGGTGTCCCTCCGAATTCCCTTGGTCTCCGCTGCTTTTGCGTGGCAGGCGTGGGACAATGTGCACTGCCAAGGGTCACTCACTCACTCGCTCACACTCACTCACTCCCTCCAAGGGTCACTCACTCACTCACTCACTCACACTCACTCACTCACACTCACTGCCAGGGGGTCGGATGCACGCCCTGCCGTTTAACTATTTCCGTCACCTCACCGCACAACTCACTCACCTCACAACTCACCTCACCTCACCTCACCTCACGTCGCCTCACCTCACCTCACCTCACCTCACCTCACCTCACCACACACCTACATCCAATCAATACATACATACATACATACATACATACCTACATACCTACATACCTACATACCTACATACCTACATACCTACATACCTACATACCTACATACCTACATACCTACATACCTACATACCTACCCTACCCTACACTACACCACACCACACCACACCACACTACACTACACTACACTACACTACCAAACACACACACAGACACACGTACCATTGCTGCAGCGGTTTAGCTATTTCGGTCGGAGCCTCGGCGATTGGCTTTGAGTTACTCACTCACTCACTCACTCACTCACTCACTCACTCACTCACTCACTCACTCACACTCTCATTCGCTCATCTGTGCATGCACATACATACACACACACACACCAAAAAAAAAACTCACCCACCATCACTCTTATACTTCCTCTTCCCTTCTTGCTTTTCTATGCTCAGCCTAAGTCTAGAGAAGTTGGTAACATGTGGGGTTATCCGGTCCTACAATTATATCTCAATGTACGCCTCAAAAATCAGTTCTGGTTGATTGATATGGCCGCGTTTGAGGTGGCTCATCTCGTTGCCTCCCCAGCGTCGCCACCCAGCCAAGTCTTTATGAACAAAGCTCATCACAGTGAACAGCGTGAAGCGAACAAATTTCAAGACCTGAGCACAGAGCAAAGAAAAAATCAAAAACACACATTATGCAAGTATGCTTAATATGTCTAGATAGAAATACATATTCAGAGTCAAGCTGCCAGGATTTTTCAGTGGGTGATGTCGGATGCAAAACAAAACTGACAGCATTGCATCAACAGCTCCAACACATCAACTCCGAATTCTGAAGGCCGAGGGGCCCCCAGTACTACGTTGAATAAGAAATCCACCAGCTTGCCGAGGAGGGCTACAACAAAGTTGAACGCGAAACCAAGCCTGGCTTGAACGCGGCACATGAAGCCCTTCTTCTCCGTCATGCATTTCTGGAGATCTTCAGGTAGTCCTTTCGACCACATCTCCATCATTGAAAGCTTGGCAGGCGCTTGTACTTGCGGGACCATGCCACGCTTCAACTCCTTCCAATCTGGATGCTTCCTTGTCAAGCACTACTTAAAGAGCACTCGAATGTGGAGTTATTGAAGTGAACATCTGATTCAACTGACCTTTATTCAAGCCATCCTTTGTTTCTATGCTTATTCGAGCCATCCTTTCAAACGTAGTTTGTTTTACAATTGACCGCTGCCATGTTGTTCACCCAGGGGACCAACTTTCTCTGTTTCAACTACGCACTCGCTGCTTCTCTTGGGGCTGCGTCTGGTTCCCAATTTGTGGGTACGGAGATGGGAGGGAATAGCAATGAATGGGCAACAGACGGGCAACCTAGTCCAAAATGGAGCACCATTGCGCCATCAATACATTTCCACAGAGGTCTCCGAACCGACTTTGCAAACGGTAGCAACCTGTGGTTGTAACCAGCATGTAAGCAGCATGGAATTGACTTGACATATAGAAAACAATAAATAGCCAGGTATTCAAATCAGCATGTAGGTAGCCATATACCAGCACAGAAGTGGCATGGAAATAACCACGCAAGAATAAGCGACCTAAGTACCGATATGATCCGATATGAACGGCATGCAAATGGCCAAACTACCAGCATGATCCAGCATGTACATCCACCATGGTTTCATCTGACTCAGTGGGATAGCCGTGCATCATCAGCATGTAAGCAGCCACAGAATCGACAAGTCATGTATAACCAGCATGTAAGTGTGCATGCAAGTGGACGAGTGGCTCCATGAAGGATTTGTAATCGAAGGAACTGGTCACAGTGACGTCTGAGGCATTGAAGTCGCCAGCTTTGCAGTTGTAGATGCCCACGCTGTGACCGTACATCTGCCAGAAATGCCAGAAACAAAGGAATTGAATGGACATGTGAGATGGAATTTTGTGAAATTTCATGTGGAAATTTCAGGTTGATATGTTGGCTCTTCATCTTGAACGCCTTCAGATATCTTTGCAATCTTGGTATCACCTATCAAGTGTGAGGATAAGAGGTGGCAGAACCCTCTCCTGCCAAGTTCCCACTCCGAGGTGACTAATGGTCCTTACGGTTTCACTTACCATATCTTACCTATCTAATCAACGTAGTATATCCGCCGACCCCTGCCAATAGCAGGGGGAGCGCGTCAGAGAAGAGGGGCAAGACGCAAGCTGCAAGTTCAAGAAACCAGGGGACAAGAAACCCGGGAAGGCCAGCTGCAGGCCGCAAGCGCCATCCGGCCTTCGGGGTCCGTTTTGGGAGCTTGGGTAAGCAGTCTGGCAGAGGGGTCCGTTTTGGGAGCTTGGCTAGTCTTCAGGGTTCAGAAAATGACGTTAGGCACGGCCGGCCTTCAGTAGCATGGTGTTTCGCTGTGGCGAGGCCAAGGTTTTGGAGGCTTGAAGGCTGCCATTTGGGGCTCTTGTCGGTTCAGAAAGCAACGTTACATTCAATGGGATCAGGACATCAAACACTGTAACACAGCGCTTTACTTTTCCTCCAGCCTGTCTTCTGGTCGCTCCCCATTCAGGGGTAAAGGCCTTCTGCCATAATGGGCTAGTTACCCCTAGTTCGTAGGGACCCATCACGGGTGTCGACAAGCCGTGCGATTCACGCATACACCCGGGTGTAAAACCATGCTCCCACGCATACACCTGGCTTTCCTCATCATCTACGGCGCTACTGCGCGTAGGAATCGGCTGCCACCATTGGGCTGGTGACGCCGTGGGTTTGGGAGGGTTGGGACAACAGATTATGCCAACAGTCGGTCTTCGACCTTAGAGATTCTCTCTTCAGAGATTATCCCTGATGTTAGCCATTCTGAGAAATACCTTGAACCAAAATGTAACAGTTGGCATAGTAGATGCATGTCTGATAAAATGAATGAGCAGCATACACCAAACCTGCCCAAGAGCACTATATGAAAATACATTCAATGGGATCAGGACATCAAACACTGCGCTTTACTTTTGCTCCAGCCTGTCTTCTGGTCGCTCCCCATTCAAGGGTAAAGGCCTTCTGCCATAATGTGTTGGCTACCCCTAGTTCGTAGGGACCCATCACGGGTGTCGACAACAGCCGCGCGATTCACGCATACACCCAAGGCACTTCTTCCTAATTTTCCCAACACATGAAAGGTAACTGAAGACTTTGCCGAGAGGGAAAGTTGGTAGCTGCCATATAGCTGTGTAACCACTCGGGTGCGATGGCATGTGAAACTATGATGGATCACAAACGAATCCCTAAGCCCAAAACGTGAGATGCCGCCACTCCAATTCGACTTACTCTGCACCCATTCGAACCATAGACATAGACCGCACTGGAGATGGAAGAATAATTTGGGCCATGCGCTCCAGGTCTGGGTTATCTGATCGATCTCGTACCAAGCTCATTAAGGCAGCAATATCGTCAATATAGCATACGCCTTAGGCATAACGGAAAGCATCAGGAAAAGTCACTAAAGCTTGAAAGACCATTAATAACTCAAGCTGTGCTATGAGGACATCCTGGGGTCTCCAAAGGCTGAGCATATCCTCAGTAATCACCACTTCGGCTCCACGGCGAACCGAGTGTTTGTCACTCAACAGGAATCCTCCTAAACCAAAACCTTCTTCTTGCACAGCATCTGAAGCTCCTGCCATGGCGAGGGGTTAATAATGGAAAAAGTGACACTATCCTCCTGGGATTCAACTGAAAGATGTCCTCGATTACCTGGAACGCCTGCAACAAGGCGTCAGTCACGTGGGCTGTGGTATCCAGATATTGCCTATCCTTGCTACCTTGCAGCCTGGTCCATAAAGGTGACACATCCGTACAGTTTCGCTGCAATGCCAACACGAAATGTCCTGTCTCTCCGAGCGGTAGCTATGATGTCTAGAATCTTCTCCTGCAGCTTGAAGGCTGCCATTTGGATCCATTTGGAATATAATTTCTTGTCCGTTCAGAAAGCGACGTTAGGCAGTGCCAGCTGCAGGCCGTAGGCGCCCTCAGTCCTTCAGTAGGGCGAGGCCAAGTTTTTGGAGGCTTGAAGACTGCCATTTGGAGCTACTTTCTTGTCCACTCAGAGAAAGCAACGTTAGGCACGGCCAGGTGCCCTCCGTCCTTCAGTAGCATGGTGTCTCGCTGTGGCGAGGCCAAGCTTTGGAGGCTTGAAGGCTGCCATTTGGAGCTGGTTTCTTGTGGGTTCAGAAAGCAATTGCACCCTCCGTCCTTCAGTAGAATGGCGTTTCGCTGTGGCAAGGCCAATGTTTTGAAGGCTTGGAAGCTGCCATTTGGAGCTAGTTTCTTGTGGATTCAAAAAGTGACGTTAGGCCAGGCACAGCCAGCTGAAGGCCGCAGGCGCCGTTCTTCAGTACCCTCCGTCCTTCATGGTGTTTCGCTGTGGCGAGGCCAAGGTTTTGGATCATTTGGAACTAATTTCTCGTGGATTCAGAAAGTGACGTTAGGCACGGCCAGCTGCAGGCCGCAGGCGCCCTCCGTCCTTCAGTAGCATGGTGTTTCGCTGTGGCCAAGGTTTTGGAGGCTTGAAGGCTGCCATTTGGAGCTGGTTTCTTGTGGATTCAGAAAGTGACGTCACGGCCAGCTGCAGGCCGCCAACTTCAATGCGACGTTCTACCCACAGCGCCCCGCTTTCTCTGCCAAGTCAATGGCTTCCAGCGACGCTGCATCCAATGCAAACAACAGCTCGCATCTGGCCCTCGGGTCCTGCCCCACCTTCACCTTAGCATCCTCCACTTTCCTTGCCACATCCCTACCCCTATAGAGGGGGTGGGCGGAGGGGGGACAAAACCAACTTGTCGAATTCCACTTTTTTTTGCTTGAAAACCTTGGGATAGTGATCCAACCCCTCAAATGGAATTGTAAAGTAGCATTTCTTAACAAGCCTTGGGCACTGCTTAGAAAATACTTGCGCTTAGCTCCGGAGGAGCTAAGCGCAAGTATGATGACGGCAGCGCAATCTTTGGAGAGATGCCATCCCTACACATGTGCTGCTTCAGTCTGGCATGTGCATAGCTCCTCCGGAGCTAAGCGCAAGTATTTAATTTTCACCTGCTTGCCAATGACATGAAATGATCATTGAGAAAACATGATTGCAAAAAAATGGAATTTAAAATGAAATTTCAGTACGACTCCCCCTCTCAAATTCCATTCTTAAGAGGGTAGGGCCGGGTAGGGATCTTGCGACCACTGCTTGCACCTTCGGACCCTGCACCTTTCCCACCCCCTCCACCAAGGCAACCCTAACCCATGCCAGCAACTCTTGGAATCCTTCCTCCGCATCCTTCCTTGCCTGTTTCGTGCCGTTCACCCAGCCCTCGTCCCTGATCTGCTCGGCCGTTTCTTTGGCGCCATCACCGCGCGGACGGGATGGCTTTAGTTCCCTTGAACTTTCGATCCAATATCTTTGAAATCTCAATGCATCCCAGAAGTGGTTGGCACATTTGAAACTTTTGAGACATGTTCATACATTTGCATGTTTGATCCACCACTTGGAACAATTTTGCACGCTTTTCTCGAGCCAGCTTCGGTCATTTCAAGCCGTGTTCACTTTGAGTCATGTCAAACCATTCTGAACAATTTTTTCCGCACACGATATGGCACTATGGACCGAGGGCTTCCAACTTCTGGATCAGGGGTCGGCGGCAGGGGGCAGAGCCCTTTAATCGGGCCAGCAGGCCCTGTAGACCGGCAAAGCCCCCGGCCGAAGGCCGTAGCTTTAGCTATACGGCTGCCGCCCCCTACCGCCGACCTATGCGTAGCCCCGTAATTTGCGGTGTTTTTTGCTCTTCGACAAAAACTTACATTTAGCCCCAACATGGCCCCAGCTGCGCCCCAAAATGGCCCAACATAGGCCCAAGATGGCCCCAAGATGGCCCCACATAGGCCCAAGATGGCCCCAAGATGGCCCCAAGATGGCCCAACATGACCCCAAGCTGGCTCAACATAGCTCCAAGATGGCCCAACATAGCCCCGAGATGGCCCAACTTAGCGCCAAATTGATTCAACAGACAATAAAATCAACAACATCAACAACATCAACAACATCAACAACAACATCAACAACATCAACAACAACATCATCATCAACAACAACAACGACCACGACGACGACGACGACGACGACGACGACCACAACAACAACAACAACAACAACAACAACAACAACAACAACAACAACAACAACAACAACAACAACAACAATCACAGCATTGCTGTCGTTGTCGTTGTTGTTCTTGTTGTTGTTGTTGTTGTTGTCGTTGTTGTCGTTGTTGTTGTCGTTGTTGTTGTTGTTGCTGTTGTTGCTGTTGTCCTTGTTGTGGTTGGTGTTGTTGTAGTCGTAGTAGTCGTAGTAGTCGTAGTAGTCGTAGTAGTCGTAGTAGTCGTAGTAGTCGTAGTCGTAGTCGTAGTCGTAGTCGTAGTCGTAGTCGTAGTCGTAGTAGTAGTAGTAGTAGTCGTAGTCGTAGTCGTAGTCGTAGTGGTAGCGGTAGCGGTAGTGGTAGTAGTCGTAGTAGTACTAGTAGTACTAGTAGTATTACTAGTAGTATTACTAGTAGTAGTACTAGTAGTAGTACTAGTAGTAGTACTAGTAGTAGTACTAGTAGTAGTACTAGTAGTAGTACTAGTAGTAGTACTAGTAGTAGTATACTAGTAGTAGTACTAGTAGTAGTAGTAGTAGTAGTCGTCGTAGTAGTCGTAGTAGTCGTAGTATAGTCGTCGTAGTCGTCGTAGTCGTAGTCGTAGTCGTAGTAGTCGTAGTAGTAGTAGTAGTAGTAGTAGAAGTAGTAGAAGTAGTAGTAGTAGTAGTACTAGTAGTAGTAGTACTAGTAGTACTAGTAGTAGTAGTAGTAGTAGTAGT